AAATAATGATAAACTCTTGAGCAGGAAAGTCTGTGCCATGGCCTCCACTTTTGTTGTGGCAAAAAAAAAAAAGAAAAGAAAAGAAAAAAAGAACAGTTGTTGGATGGAGACATGGCTTTTAAGGAAAAAGAGAGAGATTGCCATCAAAAGAACTGGCATGCAGGCTTCTTTTGTATAACTGTAGGCTGTCTATGAAAGAATGCTTCCTTGGTCATCGCACTTCTCCAGTTCAGAAACTGAGATGTGCTGTCCGCTGGTGGAGATAAACCTTGCCCCTTCCTACACCCTCCTCCACTCATCCTGGTAGGACAGGCTGATGCAACTGAGTCCATGGAATCTTTCACTGATTTTGGCAAGAAGAGAGAAGGAGAACAGTTGGATGCATAGCGAATTCCTCAGTGGTTCCCCCACCCTGTTAGTGAGCCTGAGTAGGATTCCCTGGCTTCTGTAGGTTCTGCTATCCGTGGTGTTGAGGAAGCATTGTCAGCACGCAATTTCTTCCAACGTGCCAAGTGTTGTCTGCAGGGGGACTGTCACAGTGTGGCTCGTGGGATCAGAGTGGTTTGACAAGGGCTCACACGTGCTCTGTGAACAGAAAAAAGGGAGATGACCAAGGAAGAATAAGTTGACAAGTCAGTTCTTCAACTCTTACCTCAACTAAGAGCTCACTAAATAGTTTTAGGCCATTCTTCTGTTGGCCTTAATTGTCCATCTCCAAGATAACAGTATTGGCATAACTTCCAGAAATACAATATTATAGGAGCTTTGCTGTATTGCATAAATGCTCGGTATTATTAAAATCACAGCATGGGGTTTTAATATCCTACTATAACAGGCCAGAAAGATAGGCATTTCAAGGATGTAAACAGAGCTGAATTCCCATTTTTATTAAGCTACTCCCCCCACATCTTTTCTTCAGGTTGCAATGAAATTCAGATCTGATGGCTTCAACACCAGCTATTTTTTTTCCTCCCATCCCAACCAGTGTTTATTTTGTTTACTGTCTTGATTAATAAACTTTATGGAGAATTTAAAAGCTTGCACATTATTCTGCAACCTTTGCGCTGTCCTAATAAATTGCTTAAACATGATGGTTCTCAAAATACCAGTGTGCTTCAACCTACCATTTTAAAACGATGAGCCCTGAGAGCCCCAATGTGCACTGAAAGTTTGAAGGAAAAATTCAGAAAGGATTTTGATGGCTGAGGGAATCACATTCTGTATTTGTATGGATACAGCTTTTCAATCACACAACACATATTTGAGCAATACATGAACACTTAACATGAACACTGAATATGAACCAGACAAAGTTTAAAATGTTTAAGTCTTGTTCATATCAGTGTGGGAGTTACAACATTTCTTTAATTTCTCTCATTAAAATCAACGGAATATCAAATAATTTAATTTGGGCTAAGTTAAAACTTATGTGTGTGTGTGTATGTATGTATGTATGTATGTATGTTTATATATATATATATAAAGAAAAATATTTGTGAAGCTTGATATTGGAAACAATTACACTTTAAAATCTGCAATAGGATTCATGGTGGGGGGGTAGTGTTAAATTTTGAAAAGCAAATTTCTCTAGGATTTCAAAGACAAAAATCACATGTCTTCTTGAGCCCAATAGAAAGCACTCCCAAGTAAAGACACTTGGATTATGCTGCAATTGCTTGAATTGGATAATTTTAAAGTATTAATTTCAATATGCGTGTGCACGCTTCCTCATAAATAAACTCTGTATTAAGTTCAATAGCACTTACTCTCAGATCAAAGTACACAAAATTACAATCTCCAATCTCTCTGATTTTGTTGGATAAAGTTAAAAAGGATCATCCTTTGTAGCGGGTAAGGTATTCTTAACCTCTTTCTTGCAATGCTCTGATGACAACTCTAAGATTGCTAAAGCCTGGCCTGTGACAAATCAGGTTGCCAGAAGAAAGGGCAGGAGTAAGAATACTGCATTTGGGCTATAAAAATCCAGACAACCACTAAACGGCAGCAAAGAGTTAAATTTTCTGCATCTCGTTAGTAACATCTAGTAATTATCTGGATTTTTGCGCACCAGATTTGGTAGCCTTAGCAAAGAGACACATGTATCTCTCCCTCCCTCTAGGATGCACTTAAAACAAACAAAAAGCAAACCAACCAACAATAATATGCCTTCCCGCTATAAGCCAGATCCTTTGAACAAAGCAGAATTCTAACAGGCTAATAAAACTATTTTGGGATAAATGTTTGTGGAGCAATAGGGTAAAATGGTCATCTTAAGTCATGTGGGCAAACTTCAGATCTGCAGCATTTATTTTGTTGATTATGAGACTGGTCAACTGAAGCTAGTAAGAAAAGGGTCAATTTGGAATTGAAAATTTTGGAGTTCCGGGATTTGTTTAGAATACCTAACCTTAATTGGTAACTCCTCAGGCACTTCCACATGGCTAATATTTCCACTGCTTCCAGTCCCTTTACAAAGCTGTCTGAATCTTCATGTCTGTCAACCTCAAAAGCTGGCAACACACTGGGAGCATCAGTGTTCACCTTTTCCCTTCAAGTGGCGAATCCAAAGAATGGCATCCTATTGGTGTCTAATGCACTAAGCAACAACCTCCTCAAGCTCATATAGCCACTGTCCAGGCAAAAAGGAAATAAAATAAATTGCTAATGCATAACAAACAGTAAGCATTAACATTTTCCAAAACCTTTCTACATGCTTTGCTGCTATTCTTCTGTGACATTTAAAAGGCCCTGTGAGCTGTAAGGGCGAAAAGTTGGCATGCCTGCAATTTTGCAGCCAGCAGCTGAAGGGGTAGGGGTGGGGGTTCTAACCAAGGCATACAGGGAGAAACAAGCTTCAGGCACTGAACTTCTATTGGTCGGGGGCGGGGGGAGCCCAGGACCAGGGCGATTCAAGAGTTCTGCCAACGGGAAAATGTATTGCTCACAAGTTGTGCAGAGTCTCAGTAATTCAAAGGAAAATCCCAATTTTGCAGCAATTTCCAATAAATCAGAGCAGCATCAGAAATAAATTGACTCAGCTCGCCATAACAGAAGATGGCATGAGATCAATCAGGACCAGAGCTAATCACAAAGTGGTGCAAAACAGTAATAATGAATGGCTCTGGGGAATTTCCCTCTTGGAAGGCTTTTTCATTTAAGTAGGACTAAGTAGGCTAGAAGTGGGATCTATTATTCAGAAATCCTTGCCAATCTAATGCATGTCAACTAGAGATCTGGCAGTGAAGCTATCCAGAGCTATCTTCTGCCCATCCCTTATTTAATTAACAGTGACCATTTGCTCCAGGGCTCAAACTCAGGGCTCTTTTGCCAAGCCAGAAGTCAACCTGCACAATGTGAATTAAAAAAGGACCCCTCTGAGCATATGCAAATGACCTTGTCTTCTGCATAAGGATAACTACAAGAAGTTGCTGTATCTGATTGGAGGGCAAATATTTAGAGGAGAAAGCATAAACTGGAGGCCCAGTGCCACTCTGTGCAAAAATTAAGGTCATCTCCCTTGTCAGACGGAAAATGAACTCTACCAAGGAATGTGCCAATCTTCTCTATGTCGGCTTCTGCTCTTGTGAGTCCTGGTAGGGACTCATGTCTACTTACCACATTCTCATCATGGCTTCCTTCTTCCTCCTCCGGGCCAAGAAGATCAAACAATTTCTCTTTGATCAGCTAAAAGAAGTAAGAGAAAGGATAAGGTTCTCAGTCCCAGCAAGAATCTGATACACCCCAACACCTTTGGCAGCAGCAGGAGAGGTCCTCTTCTTTGTATTGCACTGGGTTGGTTACTTATTCTTAATCCACGTGTTATAGTAAATTCAGGACACTGACGCCTGTTTGCACAAGAAGTCTGACCCAGTACTCTTTTCTGAATTTAAAATTGTATTCAGCTTTGTTCACCTATTTCTAAGACTGTTCTTGCTTTCTTAAAGCCTAGAAATACATTTTGTTAAAGAAATTAAAAAGAACAATGCTAAGATTTAATTTTAATATTGTAAAATTCTTCTTTCCATATTGCAACTCTCATGAGGGCAATTTTCAGCAAACCATTATTAACTTAGCTTTTGATTACTTTCTAGAGATAATTATATTGACCTAACCTGAAGGGACGAGGGGGCGGGGGGCGGGCAGGAGGCATGTTTCAAAGCCCTGCATCTGATTTATCCCAGAGAAAGGCAGATGTTGCATGGCAGACCTGTACGCAAAACAGGTTCTCTTGCCAAATTCAACCAAGTGAATTGTGCTACAAGTTTCTAATTTGTTCCCAGAAACTGCTTTGTCCAACAGGCTCTAAACCCCACACCCTGGGGAGGCCCTACACCCTACACCGTGCCTGAGCATCCAACTAACTGCAGTCCAGGAAAGAGACTTGAAAATGGATAGACATTTTATGGACTTGTATTTATTTATTTTTGCTTCTTCTGCCTCTGCTTGCAGGGAAAAGTTTGATGCCAACCAAACAGCTCTCTTAAATTCTACTTTCCCGTGGCCTGGTTGTATGCATTAAGGTTAGGGATGGGCTTAGGACTCTTTGATTACTGGCATATCCCACCCCAACCCTAAAGTGTCTCTTGTTGAGGATTGCCCAGTCTGGAGAGAGCCAGCCATAGAGGTGGGAACCCATATCCAAAATCACCTTTTTTCTTCCCAAACTTATTTGTTATTCACTTCTTCTTTTGTTAGATTTATATCTCACTTTTTCTCCAGGATCCGAAGCAGCGTATAGAGCACCCCCCCACAATAACAACACTGTGAGGTTCATGAAGCGGTTATCTCTGTATGACGAAATCCCTGCTTTTCCTATAGCAGGTTCCAGGCTTGGTTCCCAGCACCTCCAAGCAGAAAGACTATTTCATTCAGTGTGGACAATACCGAGCAAGTATACCAATCAAACTTGGTAGAAGGCAAACCTTTGTGACAGCCAATGTAATGTTGGCATTAAGGTGTGGCATGAGGACTAGGAAGACTCTCTTTCTTTCAGCTCAGCCTGGTACCTCAAAGGTGGGCAATATGAGGAATCAATATGAGGATTGTGCTATTAGTTCTTGCTGGTGGTGGGCATCCAGAAGATGGGGGGGTGGGACCCAAAACCAGCAGTGGTAGATGGGAAAACAGGCAGCAGTTGTGATGATGCTTTCTTTCCATGCTGCAACCCCTCTCTCCTTAATCAGAGTGTGCGAGCAAAAGTTAATAGCTACCAGCCTATCAAGGTATATGCTTTGTTACAACAACCTGCAAAGCAGGAGTGGGTAACCCACAGGTTCCTTATAGCCCCTGGATACCTTTTCCTGTTCTCTCTCTGCTTGGCATTGGGGAGATGCAATTTCCTGATGCCAACTGATCAAAAGCAAAGCAAAGATAAAAGTTGTTTAACCCTTCAGATAGGCTCAACATACCCAAATTGTCATAACGGCCCCAACCCAAGTCATCACTTCATCCCAAACTGGATAAAACATTAGGTTATGGTCCTGTCTTAACTACTGGAAAAATATGTAATGAAAGAAAAGTGCATGTTAACACCAAATATGTAATTAATGTCACATCTTGCTCAGTTATTATTATTGTTATTTAGTTAAAATGCACACTGGGCTGTGTGTGTGTAAGGAAATAGCATCAGGATTTGTGCTACCCTTCTGGAGCTCAAATGTATATTCTAAACCTTGTTATTTTTGACTCTTCTGGAGAAACGTGAAATTTGGCGGTTAGATTTTGCGCTTCAAGATTTCAAAATGTGTATTCAGGAAACTGTAAGATGCCAGAAGTTATTATATTATTGGGTCAAGGCAGGCCCATGGACAGAGTCCCTTCTTGCATCACCTCGGCAAGAAGCACGCTAGGCCACTGGGCTACGTCATTCCCTACCTCAGGGAAAGGGCTGCAACTTACCTCATAGATATAGTCAAATACTTCCAGAATAGTGAGGATACTAGCACCAATAAAAAGACCCATCTGACCTCCAATATCACCTGGGGAAAAGGGGAGGGGGGGAGGAACAGAAATGGACATTTTAATCTTGCATTTTGGTGCACACCAAAATAAATTGCTTGGGCTGTATACTAGCACCAATAAAAAGACCCATCTGACCTCCAATATCACCTGGGGAAAAGGGGAGGGGGGGAGGAACAGAAATGGACATTTTAATCTTGCATTTTGGTGCACACCAAAATAAATTGCTTGGGCTGTGAGCCCCTACCTGGAAATAAGCCCCCTAAACTAACTAAACTAAATATATACAGTATTTTGAGCATTTTTATGCTGGCTGTAAAGGAATAGGGAAGCTGCCTCCTCCTTCTCCTCCTCCTCCATTAGCATGCAGCTGTAGGTTAGGCATCCCTTATTAATAGGGTAGACCATTTCTTTTTGAAGACAATCTGATACCTCCTTTTGATATTGCACCCTGCTGTTCATTTACCATGCCCTTGCCTGTTTGGCTTCTCCGTTTTATTTGTGTGTTGTCATTAGACCTTTTCATCTCTGCTGCTCCAATTCAGTAGCCTCCATAAAGCATCCAAGGATGCATATACATTATGAAATACATCACGGTAGCAGAATCTTCCTCTTTTCCTGCCATTAAGTATCACAGTTGATCTCTATACAAACTGGAAAGAATCTCTTGGTCTATTGTTCAGAAGGTAAAAGGCTTACATCTCCATGACAACAGGGGATATGTTTAAATGCAGCTAACAAAGGCCTTGGGACAAACAAGCCAAAACTCAGGTTGTCTTCTTTTCACCCAAACTTCATACAAGGGTTGGAGTTTGACTTCATAAGCCAGATATTTTTTTAGATGGATGGATGGTAAGCTACAGCTTCTACCATGGCAGCCTATATTTTCTCATCTTTTTCAATATTGTTTCAGTTACTGGTGCTATATTTAACGTACAATCCCATACTGCCTGGCTAAGGGCCAGAGAATCTGGGAAAAGACTTGATATGTTAGTGGAACACCATATTGAATAACAAGCACCCCAAATACACCACTACTGGGATATGGCTTCTTTGAGCGACAGGTGCAAGCCCAAGATCCAATACAAGAAATCTCCCTCTCATGGATTTTAGTCTCAATTTTCTTTGGCTACTTGGCAAAAGAGGGTGTTTCTTCATTTTTATCTGAGACCTGTAGCCTCCTTGCCATCTTAAATATACCTCTTTGTGCCTTAATTCAAGAAAACTTCACTCTATCAGCAAGACTTCACGTCAAAACTGGATGAGGCCCCACAGAGAAAATAGAGAATAGCAGGCATGGCCGATACTCTTCTGACAGATAGATTTACCATGAATATTTAAAGTGGTGCAAGACTTCTGGACGTAAGCAGATAGATCTTCATTTTCCAATTTTTCTGTTTTCCCTGCATGGGCTGGCCCAAGCTCTCTGAGTTCATTCTGTGATTCTGAGCTGCTGGAATCAGATTTTTCTGAGCTCAGCTTAGAAGACTTTTAATAATAGACCAGAGCAGGCCAGTGATGCTAAAGGCTTCTGGATCAGACTTGTTCAGTGGTCTAAGTAATAAGGAGAGCCTATTGCTGCCTATGGCATTTCTAATGGCTGTTGGGTTTGTCTCTCTCCCTGTGCCCGTCTTGTTTTGTCTCTGCTTCAGGTTGTTCCTTACCAATTGACAGGAGTTCCCTGGGATTTGCTCATGGGGCTGAAGCTCCAGATTGCCTGCAAACTGCAGTTGTGTTGTGTATGTGCACTGAATGTTTACTCACCAAGTAATGCTGCCACTTCATATGCTTTCCTCTGCTCAATGGTCTCATAGTTAAGAGCTTCGAAGAATATATCCAGTACAAGGATATTCTCCCTAAGGAAAGAAAACAGGCAGCCAGGAGGGCATCAAGAGGAAGTAACTGCATCTTCGAGTTTGGTAGCTGTTGTATGTCTTTGAATTTGTGGTGGGAAACTCCTAGGTGGCAGCCTAAGGAGAATGCTGTATTTGGTATTGGGTCAGTACACCTCTTCACTAAGAGAATAAGTAATTGGTGGAGAACATGCAGGATCCCAATGTTGTTACTGTAACTCCCATTGTACTGGACCACTGGTAGTGTTAGTTGCTGCTATAGCTCAACACAGTACAGAGAGTCTCATATTCTCCACTCCTGCCTTCTTGACAACTAGAACATTCACTCTTCTGTTAACCACCCTTTCTTCATGAATACTTGGTCCCAAAGTCCAGGTGATTAAGAATAAAAGCTGCTTATAGACTAGTCTGATTCCCTTGGTGACTGAGGAGAAGGATGCCACGAAGTCCCAGTAAACAATAGGAATGAGTTACTAGGTTTGACCTGCCTTCTCAAAACTGGCACCTTCTAGATATGCTGGTGCTGAAATTCCCAGAATGCTTAGAATTACAGTCCCACCAAATTTGGAGTGCACCAGCTTGGAGAAAGCTAAGGTAGTCCATCTTCCTGTTTCCCCCAGCAAACAGTGACATGCACCCAGGGTTTGAATACAGTAACTCTCTGAAGCTGTTGCTGTTCTCAGCAACTGATAGTCTTTGAACTTGGAGGGTCCATGCTAATAATTTTAAAAGTGGTCTAAAATATTGGGTTTGGGGGCTGTGGATTTTGACTTGGCAGTTTGTGCTGCTAACTACTGTGAACTTTACAAAGCCACTTGGCTTCAAGGAATATTGATTACATTAACAACCTGCCAGAACATAATAGGCTGACTGTAGGGACCGAGCCCATGATACCGTGTCCTCTAAAATCCTAACTTCCAATATATCTCTTCTGAACAATACAAGGAAAGAGTATATGCATCTTTCATGGATCTAGTCTATTGCTTGTTTTGTCTGAGTACCTACTTCTGGATCTCCTGACCTTCTACTGGAGACTTTAGATTGTGTCTTCTATCTAAGTTTGACTAGGCACTTGCCTCTAGCCCTGAACCTTGTTTGGTACTCTGGAAATCCTAAATTTTTACTGATTTGGATTTCTGATTCCTAGTCAGTTCCTAAGTTGGGTGGCTTATTCAGTGTAGCAAGTAGCAAATAACACCCGACCCTTTGAATTCTGAAACATAATGAATCTGGAACTGATACCTGAATGAACCCCAGCTGAATGAATCCCAACTGACACTTGACACTTGACAATAACCACATATGTTTTGTTATTACACAAACAATCTCTCCTTGGCTTACTTTACTTAATAAAATGATTATTCCACCCTTGTTTAAACCAGGATTACGTACGAGATATATTTCTCTGACTTGTTAAACTTCTTCTCAAGATATTTAGCTGAGGTCTTGCTGGGGATCTTAACCATGGAGAGCTCCTTGTTGTAACGGGTCAAATTGCATGGGGTTTGGCACTCACAATAATCGTTACCCTTTTCACCGAGAAGCACTGTAAGGCAAAGCAAGAACCAGGTGGGTCACTGGTAAAGTTCCATGCCCCCACATGCAGATGGAAGAATTGCTTTTCTGGCCTAGATGAAAGATTGAGAAAGACCTGCATTCCCTAACATGGTGCCTTTCAGTTGTGTTTGACTATAACTCCCATGATCCCACCCAGGCTGTATCCAGAGGAGTTATATGCTCACGCAACTGGAGAATATGCTTTTGGAGAAGGCAGATTTATATCAGCACCTTAATAATAGCTAGGTCAATGCCCTAGAATGTTTTATGCAAGTCATGGCAGAGATAGCTGGGAACCTATTGTTCTCCTTTGTGTCCATCAAAGAAATTCATTGAAGTTCTATTGTTAACAATCACAGCTAATAAAAGCCACTGATGGAGCAATCCATTATGAATTGTCTCCTCCTTTTAAAAAGTCTATCAAAAGCCCAATTCATATGCTGTAGTGGCAGTGAGCTTGCTGCCAAAAATAGCATCTGCCTTCCCTGTGTTCCACCAACTGTTTTTTGCAGTAATATATGGAAACTTGCTCTCAGATTATACTCCATGCTCAGTTGTATGTAATTTTAGCAAATGAAATAGAGGTGTACAAAGTGTTCCACGTCTGAAATGTTTCAAGCTCAAACACATTGGTTTTACATTCAAAACGCTAAATTCTGAGTTTGAAACAGCTGCCCTGATCATTCCAGAAGTGTGCCAAGCTCAAATTTGAAATATCCCAAGCTTTAAAGCACTCCATTTGGAGTTCAAAATGCACTGATCCAAGGCCAAAGGAACAAAAGCAACTGTGGGAGGTTCAGTATAGTGTTGCATATGCTACAGTGTTACATATGCTACAGGTTGAGTACAGTGTTAGGGAGAGCTGAGTAATGATTAATCCTGTCCTTTCCAACCCCAGAAATCACCTGTCTTGTGGAACAAACCAGTATGTGAATGAAGATACCATAGAATAAAAAAGAATGGGATGTGAGTTTAAATAGATAACACATACGTACTGCAGCTCCCCAAAGTTGTTCATGAAGTTGAAATATCAAAAATAAAATCTTGCTTTTGAATTCTGACCTGATGAGAATTCTTTACAGTACATGTTTCTGATGGATTTCAAGGCAACAATGTTCACCTCCTTAGATCAACAAAGGCCTCAACTGAGGGGGAAAAGTAAATTGGTACACTGCAAATTTAAATGTGAAATTAGAAGAATTTGTGTGAATTTCAGTCTTCAAATTCTTCCCAGTTTTTCCCAAGGGCCACCCAGGCAGATGTGATTTCTGGGAGAACAAGTTGCATTGCAACTGAGTCATGCCACCCACCACGGAAGGTTTGCTTAAGTGCTTCTTCAATGGGGCAGCTGACATTTGTTTGGTTGTGTGCAAGACACACTCCACATTCTGTGACAACATGAATCCCAGTTTGAAATGTGATTCTTTTGAAATATCAAACAAGAAGAAATTAAACAGTCCTGATGGTGAGAGAACCCTTTCAGAACTCACCTAGTGCAGGCTCTGCACACTCCTTATATTGCTCCGGTGTACAAAAAGGAGCATCACCTGCATAAAAAGAACACAGGGTTATTTTTAATATAAGCTTAGCAATGATGGATTTCTTTCTAAAATGCTTAGGGAAATCATTCTTACGTTTCAGTCACGTATGGGCAAACCATAGTCCCAAGGCAAACATGGCAATTGGACATCTCATGGGTGGTATTCCAGGGATGGGCCTTGCCTTCCCTGAATCCCTCCTTCCTCTGTTGCCACTGTGGCAATCATATAATGGAAGAAAGGGGGTGCGCATGTCCCTTCTTTCCTTCTCCTTCCCCAGAATGACTGGGTTCCTGACAGCCTACCAGAGAACTGTTTGGCGAGCTTTTAGCGATATTATTTGAATTAGGAAAATATGAAGTGTGCTCAGCGTGTCTGTGAAAGATAAACCTCCCTGTTTATAGAGAACTGGGAGAAGTAGGTAAGCATGAGCGTGAATACATGCATAAGTGTGCATAACTATCTTCATGCATCTATGCGGATGATGCAGGCCCTGCTCACTATCCAATACTGTGCAGTCACAATTAGCACCTATTTGTGAAATCAAAGACCACTGTTAGTAAAATAACTGCATCATCTCCTAAATGTCTACTCTAAAGTAAATCCTATCGAATTCATTAGGGCTTACCATGGGAAAATGCTTTTGTTTTGATTTTAAAAAAGCATAATAAGATATGATTTTAAAAATTGGACACTAGAGGGAACTAAAGATTACAATTAAAGGAGAAGAACACATAAACTCAACTTA